ATTTGGCCTAATGCCATGTTAGTTGTACTATGATGCAACTAAATATCCCATGTGAGAGTTATGCTCTTTCCACATCTACATCAACATACACAGCCAGACAGAAGTACCATGGCTACGAATACAAAGCACACACATACAAACACACAAACACAAACACACACACACACACACACGCAAATGCAGAAATATACACCCACTAGGATGGCCTATTACTATCCTTTTAATGCTGAGGGCACTACTGAGATGATGGAAAATATCATAAATGCGCTATAAAGGATGAGAGAAGGGAGAAAGGAAATACACAGTACAAACAATCCATTTGACAGAACTTCAAAAATGTAAATATTCCAAGAACTCTTAGATAAGAACAAAGTCTTGGGCCTTGAATCAAGATTAAAATGGGAAGAAGAAACTGTTTGGCTTCTGAGGCTGTAAATATTGCTTATATATGTAAATTTAAGGACTGAATTTGAGGTTGGAGAGGATGTCAATATACCCAGAGTCCAGAACGTTGTTTTAAGCTCCGTAAAGAAAATATCTTTGGTATTTTTTCCCCAGTTTGTTTGAAGATCAGAAACTGATGAAACATTTGTCCGTTAAAGCAATAAACTCCTAAGAGAAGTACCCCGGTGGGTCATTCCTGACAAATGAGAACTGAACATCTCTGGGGCAAACTACACAGATACCAGGCAAAACACCCAAGGGGGCTACAAAACCATTCAGCTGGCAATAGAACAAGTGGACAGCTCAAGACATTTCACAAAACATTTTTATTCAATACTCTATTTCAGGATATCAAGCTGGACTCAATAACTATTTGCTGAAAGCATGAGCCTGGAGAGAGAACAGGTAATATCACGGAAGATATAGCCCTCTAGCAGACATTCAACAGATGCCTGCTGAATGTCAATGTTCACTTCACGAACCAAATGCCCAGTTACCCAGGTCACTCAGTTGCAGAAGTCATCATAATAAGAAATATTTACTGATGAACCAAATTCTTATAAAATTAGGATTTGCCCCAATATTTCTCTGTTCAATACCAGCAGCTATCTCTGCCCACTGAAGTAACCCCTTGTCAGGCTTTCAGTGAATCTTGATCCTATAAATATTATCCAATGCAATGCAAATACAAAACAACTGAAACCACAATTCTTGCAAAAGACAGACTTCCCGAAGTTGATGAAAGAAATGCCGCAGAGCCACTTAAAACACATGCAAAGCCACCTAACGTTTGAAGCTCCGGCAGAGTCAGGAATGTCACAACTGAAGAAGAGAAAAGAAAACAACAATGATACACAATAGGTACCTCAAAATGAAATAATTTGGATATCAAAGGAGTAAGAGAGGTTCTTGGAAAAACTGATAAGACTTCAATAATTTTTTTGGAAAAAAAAAGGCTCTTTATATTCAAACTATAAAAGTTAACCAGAGGAATTTTTATCATACTATCACATTTTTATCAGAAAAATAATACCAAAACAAAGCTCATATGACTCATTCTTTGTTCTAAAAGTTAGTGCAGGGGCCAGCCTGGTAGCATAGCAGTTAAGTTCACGTGCTCTGCTTCGGCGGCCTGGGGTTCACCGGTTTGGATCCCGGGCACGGATTTAGCACCACTTATCAAGCCATGCTGTGGTGGCATCCCACATATAAAGTAGAGGAAGACAAGCACAGATGTTAGCTCAGGGCCAATCTTCCTCAGCAAAAAGAGGAGGATTGGCAGCAGATGTTACCTCAGGGCTAATCTTCCTCAAAAAAGATAATAATAAAAAATAAATAAATAAAAGGTAGTACATAGTTGAAATATAATCTAAAGGTGCTAAATAAAAAAATTTTTTTAACTATCTTCATAATTTTTAGTTTCATTTTTCCAAGTAAACCTTAATCAAAAAAATTGTTTATTTTATTTACAATAAAAGTTTAGTTCTGGCTTTAAGTAGATGCACATTAAATGGTCATTTTCACCCTTAACTGACCAAGTCTTTGGTACTGCTGAACTGATTATTTGCCTAACAACATTACTAGTTCATTATCACAAGGAGGTTTATGTCAAGGATATATCTCAAAACATGCATGGCCAACCAAAGCCACATATTTTACAGCAGGACAAACCTATCAAAGAAGGAGTAACTTAAAAGCAAAAGCCTACTTTACTTCAGAGGGTGTATATTATTCTCACATGTCCTGATGCATCCGACCCCTTGTTGGCTATTTCCCTAAGCCAGTCCTCAGGTAAGGGAGCAGTGAGCATTTGGGATGGAAAAATCTTGGCTCCTTGGTGAAATCACTGAGCTAAGCCAACAAATTAAAACTTTTGGAACCAGCCTTCCTTAAAACATCTTGCTATATGAGGTATTAACTTGTTTTTGTGGCATAATCATTTTTAATTGGGTTTTCTGCTGTTGTTTGCAGCTAAAAGCATCCTAACAGACACATATCATATAACCTATGTATGGGTATCTGTAGTACTTTTGGAGGCATACAACCATAGAAGATTTACAATCTAGTTGTAGAGGCAAAACTAATACATGTGAAAAAATAAAGACAATTTTCGTTCACTATGAAATTTACAATATTTTTTAGAAGAACCATAAGAGTTTTAAGAAGAATACGATCAGGTAGTCATAAAGATAGAGCATTGAAGTAAGATTTATGTAACAGTTAAGAATACCTCATGGGAACACTTTGTGTCAGAGCATTTAAGAGTTAAGAGATCTCAGAAATTTTCTGGGAAAGAGATGAAAGTAAAAAGTTAAAGTATAACCTTGAGGATTTTAGCCAAGGAGAGAGAAACAAACAAAACACACGCTAAAAAAAAAAAAAAAAAAAATGGTGCCACTAACAAATTATTACAATGAAATGGAAGCTGGAGTCGAAACTACAGTAAATTTCTTAAAACAATGAAAGATGTCAAGGATGAGAAAATAAAGAGAGACAAAACTACGCCCCCCAGATTCTAGGTCTAGGAGAGAATTTAAGTGATTACACAGCATCAAAAACAAAACAGAACAGCACAGGGTGCAACGGTGGGTAACGCAAAAAGAAAAGAAGAAAGCCATCTTTCTAGCTACCACTTGAAATCCTATTTCAAGGCCAGGGGAACATGTCCCTTTGGTACAGAAGTGAGGCCTTCAAGTAAGGAGCCCAAGAAGCAGCATACTTTAACAAGCCTTTACATGTGTGGATTGCTCTGAGTTTGAAAAACATTTTCACATTCATTAACTCATTTTATTCCCATCCCAATCCTTCAGCCAGGCAGGAGGTATTATTAATCCCATTTTACAGATGAAATAAAAGGCCCCAAATATAGCAGACTGTTTTAAATAGCGTGATAAACTTAAATGTTTAGTAGACCTTTTTTTTTTTAAATTACAAAGATTCACTTCCCCTTATAAGCTATCTTTTATAAGAAAATCTACTGGTCTTGTCATAACTTATGCATGCTTGCCCGCTATTACAAAGACGGCTTTAACCACAAACTCCATCACTCAAATTAGCAGCTAAAAATTACATGCCTCCAGAGACGCCAAATGGAGATAATGGCTACAGCAGATTTTCAGTGCAACTAAAGGGCAAGTTTTCCCTTCCTTACAACTTTTAATTAAAAACTCCATGATGACCTTGTGGGATGTTGGAGGAACACTGAGTCCCCATTCCTCATATTTCCCTAGGAGGGGAGGGAATTTCCAAGGCACTAACAGTGTAAGAACAACACATCTCCACTCCTTCACTGCTAACTCCCCAGGAAAGAACGCAGGGCTGAGTCTCTTTTCAGATCCAGCTGGTTTGCAGAATCTCGTATATGCTTCTTCATGCCCTATGGAGGAGGTCTCCAGTTGTCTGTCTGTGCCAGTAAAAAGGACAATATGCCCTCTAATTCAGAGGTGAAATCCACGTGGCTACAGATCTAGAGCCACATGCTTCCATGTTTTCTCAGTAGTTAAGTTGACACTCTGATCTCTATTTGACCTTTTGTCTCATTTCTCAATTGGTTTCACAATTGAGAGGAAAAGACAAGGATGCTTTTTACTGGTCCCCTAAAGCTACAAGCCAGGATAAGAGGTAAAATGAAAACAGACTAGACAGAGAAGAGCTCTTTTTTTTTCCTTCCCATCCTCATTATTTTTCAAAGCACGTAACAGGAACCCACATAGGCAGCTGATAAGATGGTTTTGTCTTATCAAACAAACAGCACTAAATCTCTAGTCACGGCATCAACATGATCACACAAGCCCAGTAAAGGTAAAAAAGCCAAAGCTTGGACGGGAACTATGAAAATATAAAAAATACTAGTAAATAGTATATTTGCCTCCAGGAACAAGATCAGATTTTGAAGCAACCTCTAGTTAAATTAGGTGACCTCATATTTTACAGATTCTTCTAGATTTAAATTCTGATTTCCATCTAAAATTCTATCTGCAGTTTGCATGGATCACTTTAAATCATGTTTTTGACAGCTTTAGCAGTTCGGGTAAAGTGCAGCTATAGACATAAGTCAATGAATAAACATGAACCTCTTACTCCTCATCTGTAAAAATAAGGATATTATCCTCTGCTGCTCAAAGTTTTTGAAGGTACTGAATCAGGTAATATATGTGAAAAAGTTTATCAAAATTCCAAACACTTAGATTTTAGTTTTGTTTCCTTTTTCTACAGCCTGCAGCTACTATCTTTGGCCACTAGATGGCAATGCTGCCTCAGTAAATTGTTGTCAAGGGAAGTCTGGATTTTATTCAACTTCTAAAAGTAAAATGTGTAAAAATTTAAATTACAGGGCTTTTCCTGGCATCTGATGAGCTGATACATAAAACTCTGTACATCTAAAAGAAGAGGGAGTGATAATTTCACTTCTGTAAGAAACGAAAGTGCTAATGGTGCCTTTACTTTTTCATTTTAAAACCTTAACTCATTTGAACTAAGAAATGTGGGAAATCCTACAAGAAAGGGTATTGTATAAGACATTTTTTGGTAGCTAGTAAAAAGGTGTGAACATTTACCTCTGACCCCAAACTGAGAGAAACGATCTCATCCTCAAAAGCAGAGTGTGTGTCAATATGAGCGGGAATTCCTGAGATGGAAGATAGGATAATAAGTCACTTCATTTTTCCTTTAGTAGATTTAAGATGACTCTAAATATAGCCTCACACTATTATGGTGAGAACATTGTTTGATAATCAGGAATGTACTATAATTTTAGTTAAAAGGAAACATTTATGGTGGTTGTAACCAAATAAAAATTAAACTAAATCTCAACCAAAAATACGTTAACTTCATGCTAAGACTTCATTCTAAAATCAAGATTTGAGGGATCGGCCCCATGACCGAGTGGTTAAGTTCGCGCGCTCCGCTTCGGCAGCCCAGGGTTTCGCCGGTTCGGATCCTGGTCACGGACACGGCACCGCTCGTCAAGCCACACTGAGGTGGCGTCCCACATGCTACAACTAGAAGGACCCACAACTAAAAATACACAACTATGTACCAGGGAGCTTTGGGGAGAAAAAGGGAAAATAAAATCTTTAAAAAATAAAAATAAATAAAAAACTAAAAATAAATAAAATCAAGCTTTGAGAGTCACTGCTTAACTAGGACATTTACCCAACCCTAGCCCAAGAAGAAGAAGTGAAAGATAAATAACAAAGTCACTTTTCCTCTTGAACACTGGATTCCCAAGTACTTGTAGAACAAAAGCAATAACCAGGTGTGAAGACTAAGCACATCGATAATTAAGACACGGCTGCCTCCACCAACCTCTCAATCTATGTTAACTGAGCACCTCTTAAGTGAGAGGAACCTTGCTACACGGTGAGAGTATATAAAGCTAGTAAGACACAGTTCCTTCCTCAAGGAGCTTACAGACCCATGGAAAGACTGACAGATAAATAAGCAATCATAATACAGCATGATAAATGCAGGGGGGAAAACAACCTACAACTCCTACCATTAATAAAGCTTTTAAGATCATTTGATTACTACAAATATCAGACGAAGATGCTGTTAACAAGTGCAAAAAATCAATAACCTAAAGATTTTTCACTAACATGTCATCCTAGAATTGTCTTCCACATTCTCAACAGAAGAGAAAGAAGAGCAAGATCACCCAATTAGCCTTTTCTCTGTATCTGTCAATTATTTGGTTTCTTCCATTATACCATTGTTGTTAAAGCAATCTTCTCCCTCTCTAAATAAAATGTTGAGAGGGAACAAAAAAAATCACAAATAGCAATTGTGTCAGTCTGTTCACACTTTGGGATGTAAGCTCCTCAAGAGATCGCTGTGCAGATTTGCAAGGAACTGAAGTCAACACAAGTAAAACACATAAGCACATTAAGAGTTAGTCTGAGCTAAAAAATAATACCTCTGATTTTAGAGAGTTACATAATCTACTGAGTTATGAAATATATAACTGGAATTTAAAAAAAAGAAACACTCACCATGCCCAGGTTCATACTGGTTTACAGTCAATTGATCAGGCTTATGTTTAATGAAACCTTCCTTTAACCATTTCTCCAAAATGCTATCACAAATGTCAGGAAGACCTGAAGTCATTAATCATGAAGATAAAACATATTAAAATATTTACTTTGCATGTTTTAACCCAAGAACAAAAAAAAATCACTATGATAAAAATCATACAGCCTTTAATTTAGAAGTCAGACCCAAATACAGCAATAAACCCACAAGCAAAGCAAAATATAAACAAAACCTTCTTAAGAATCTTTTAAAGTTATCTTACCGATTTTAGCAAATAAAACGTCCAAGAGCAATTTTGCTGACAATTTTGATATTTTGTAAAACAGTAATAAAATGATAAAATTTTCCATATTCTATACTGAAAATTAGCCTGACCACTTTCTTTTTTATTTTTAATTATTCAATTTATTTTAAAATTAATTATTTTAAATTATTTCTCTTAAAAAAAACACTTCTCAAAGTAGAACTAACTTACTTTTATTGGAGTCATGAATGTTATCTCATGAGGGAGGGAAACCCTTAAATAAGACCAAAGCCATAAAAATATAGATAAATTTAACTCCAACAAAGAATTCTAGCAAAGGATTAATATCCAGATTATACAGTAAATTCTTATTAATGAATTAGACAACCCATTAGAAGAAAAAACTAGCAAAACATATGAAAAAGAATTCACAGAAAAGAAAATAAAAATAGGGGCCGGCCTGGTGGCACAGCAGTTAAGTTCGCATGTTCTACTTTAGCAGTCCGGGGTTTGCAGGTTTGGATGCCAGGTGTGGACCTACGCATTGCCTGTCAAGCCATGCTGTGGCAGCCATCCCGCATATAAAAAAAAGTAGAGGAAGACGGGCACTGATGTTAGCTCAGGGCCAGTCTCCCTCAGCAAAAAGAGGAGGATTGGCAGCAGATGTTAGCTCAGGGCTAATCTTCCTCAAAAAAAAAAAAGAAAAAGAAAATACAAATGACCATCCTCACTAGTAATCAGGTAATTATACAGTTAAAAGTTTTATAATATCACATGTTGGTGGGGGGAGGGGGTGAGTGCACACCTGGTGAGAATAAGTTGGCACAACTGTTTTGGGGGCAATTTGTCAGTATCCATTAACTTTTTTTTTTTTTGAGGAAGATTAGCCCTGAGCTAACATCTGCCGCCAATGCTCCTCTTTCTGCTGAGGAAGACTGGCCCTGAGCTAACATCCGTGCCCATCTTCCTCTGCCTTATATGTGGGATGCCTTGACAAGCGGTGCCATGCCCACACCCGGGATTCGAACGAGTGAACCCCGGGCCACCAAAGCAGAATGTGTGCACTTAACGGCTGCACCACCAGGCTGGCCCTCTATTAACATTTTTAAATGAAGGTAACTTTGACACAATTCTAATTTAGCAATCTCCCTTAGAAACTCTTGCTTAGTGCATAAAGAGAGGTATATGAAGATACTCACCGCAGCACTACTTGTAAAAGCTAAAAACTAGAAATAACCTAAATGTCGATCAAAAGGGAACTAACTGAATAAACTATTATTGAACATTCAATAAAACGAAAAACTATGTAAGATCTCCAGGACATATCATGAAGGGAAAGGAACAAGTTGGAGTAATACAAGTAATATATGATTATATAGCTTACAGAAGGCAATACACTACTCCATGTTAACAACTAGTACAGACCTTTCTAGGTATCTACATTTGAAAGTAAACTCGTCTTTAAAGGATTGGTATATACTAAACTGTTAACAGTACTACTTCTAAGAAGTATGAGAGTAAGGATAATGTTCAAGAGGAACTTTAGCTTTATGTACTAATTGTTTAACACAAAACTGCACTACTTGGCTAATTAAAATGTTTTAAATTTAAACAACTATTTCAAAGTTTACCTACAAATGACAAATGAGACATGTCCTCAGCTACGATGTACTTCTAATATATTAAATCTTTTTTTCTAACCAGCATTTATTGTTTATTAACAATTACTTACCCCCAGGTAATGGCTTATTTTTATCTACATTGTTGTTCTCATAGTGGAATTCATAACCAAAATGCTTTACTCTTCTGTGTTTTAAGGATTTTTGAACTGTATGAAGAGAAGAAAGCAAATTATTTGGGAGAAAAGAATTTCATTCCTTCGTATATTTCAAAGTGAACATTATAAGTAAGGATTAGTTTAGGAATGGTAACTTTCATTAACTGATAAATTATTGCTTTAATAAAATCAACCATTTCCTCTCGTATCTGCTGTTCTTTTAAGTCTAAAACTGTAAAGAACCCTTAAAGAGTCTCCCCCAATCTATCTGAAAGAGCTGAACACGCACACTGCCGCTCACAAGACTGCTAATGATGTGGAGAGAGTCAGAGTAACTCATTTGCAAATATCTCCAGCAGGCTCTGACTGCATTAGAACAGTACGGCGCTGACCTGCTGATTCCTCAGAGGATATCTGCCTTAGGTGGAGAGGATCAAATAAGACAAGACATGTGAAAGGGGTTATAAATGTTAGCTCTACAAGGCTGGCTTACAAATATTAATCAGTTTGGAGTTTAAAATTGATAGCTATATAAATGTTATTTATTATTAATGCTCCTAAGAATTGTTGGTATGACTTGCCTAACACTGGATCCAGGCTACTTTCAGTAATTTTAAGGAAACAGTACAGTTTTAACAAACCAAAGGAGGAGAAGAAAAGAAAGATCAGTATCATGGCCATTTTGCAGATACTTTTAAATACCAGATTTTAAGTTTTACTTACAATTTTGGTTCTCTGTATCTTCTGTCCAGTTAACACTTTCTAAAAGCATTTTCTCATCCTCAGAAGAAATAATTTCTTCTACTACCATGAGGCCTGGAGGTAAGGCTTGAAGCCCCAACTCTTTCCACTGCGCTGTGGGAAATGAAATTAAAATACTCACATACAAATCTTAAAGTTCTTATACACAAATAATTCTGTCCCAAAAGCCATTTATTAGTTCATAAGACTCCTAATCCTTATTTTCAGAAATAAGAATGCTAAAAGGCACATGACATATTAAAAATACAAAAATAAGACCAAGATAAAATTATGGTACATTTATGGTACATAAGTCCACTGTATTTATCAAATAGAACAGTATTTACTTAAATATGCTGTTTGAACATGACTGAACCAGCTTTTAAATCTCACTAAGAAACAAGGTTTCTCATAATATCTACAGTATGCCCCGCTATAACCAAGTCTGATTGTCCACAAATAATGAATACAAAAATTTACATGCTTGTTTTTGCCCTCAGATTCTTGATACTAGCTATGGTCAAGTAACAGAAAAATGCAAAATAACATAAAATTTTCTGGAGAAATAAAAATATCATTTATGAAGAATTATTTAGCATATATTACAATAATTTAAGTCCCTATGTCCTTCGAAGTTTTAGATAAGTACAGCTCTAGAAGGCAAAATAAAAAGAATTTATGATTAGATAAGGGGAATAGTGTAATTCATATTTACTATTAGAGAGCTGATCATGTCACAGACACAATTTCCGAAGCTTTTCCGCAGAACAGTTTTCATCTTTCAATCAATTAATATAAAAATTCACAAAAATAATGTCTACTAGATTTGTTAACATTTTGGAAATAGAAACAGTGAATCATCTGATAAATATTCGCTCAGTGCTTACTATATGCCAGGCATTATATTATTTATTCAAATTACATAAGGAAAAGTTTGGGAAGAATTCCTTAAATACAAGTAATTTATAGCATAAGTAATTCATATTTAGTTTTCTAAATATATTTTTTTAAAACTGAAGAACCAAAAATATCTCTTGTGTTTGTTATTAACTGGCTATCTTGTCGCAGATATAAAACAAGTATCAAAATGTTTGCGACAGTTCTATTCTCTATTCATTTTATTCTCCATTCATTTCTACTAAAAATGATTTCCAAGGTTATAAATGTGATTATAACAGTCTTAGAAGTACATCTGGATCTAATGTATGATTTCAAATAAAGAACACTCCAAAAATCACTTTGTGCAATTTCTTACAGAGTGTTCAAGATACCAATCGAGGGAAAACCCAAGGACAGTATTTTCTGATAAAAACTTACTCTCAAACCATTCAATTTTCAAAAATTGATCATAAACATATAAAATATGGAGATGATCTAGTTTTTAAATCTATAAAGCATAAATCAGATTTAAAATTAAATACAGACACTGAGAATTACAACTTCTAAAATTTATCTTTAAAAGAGTCTTTAAAAGTTTCCTTGAGTCTTATTTTACAAAAACACAAATTTGATCAGATTATACTCATCCACCCACTCAAAGGATATCTAAACAAACCCTTTAATTGCCTAGATAGGGGGCAAGTGAATATAACAGAAGGAGATTAGACATCTAAATCAAAGTTCACCTCACTACATTTCATTTCCACAGGACAATGTTGAAAAGATGTAATAATCCCTATAGAAATTCTGTAAATTAGTCTATAAAGGTTTGATTTAAATTAGTTAAGTTAGGGGCCAGCCCCATGGCAGAGTGGTTAAGTTCAGCATGCTCTGCTTTGGCACCCAGGTTCATAGGCTCGGATCCCAGGTGCAGACCTACACCACTTGGGGGCGGCCATGCTGTGGCAGCAACCCACATACAAAATAGAGGAAGATTGGCACAGATGTTAGCTCAGGGCTAATCTTCCTCAAGCAAAAAAGAAAGAGGATGCTTGGCAACAGATTTTAGCTCAAGGAAAATCTTCCTCAGCAAAAAAAAAATAAAAATAATTTTAATTAACTAATTAAAATAATTTAAATTAAATTAAAATCAGTTCCTCAATCACACAATCATGTTGAACAGCGCAGATATGAACATATGAACATTTCCATTACTACAGAAAGTTCTATTGGACAGTGCCACTATAAAGCTTTTGGGATCTTTGGTGGCTAAAGGTGTTCCTGAAACCAACGAACAGCCTTGATGATTAAGTATCTAAGTACTAAAGTTTTTTTTTCCTTTTTGCAATTACTGATTACAGCTTTTAGCTGTTTAACCCACCCACTGCTGACTGTGCTGCTTAGGCAATACACTATCTGACTCCCACTAGGCTCCTATAGATAACATCTCCCTGGAGCCTGGGTCACCATGGTAATGGGTGTGTGAGCTGTTTTTCAGGAATTAGAACTCCTTGTCCACTTAGCCTGGTTGAGACCACCAACTCATCATCTAGGCCCGCGCAGATGTCCGATAGGTGACCTTTTGACATAAAGAGGCTAAAAACTCCACCCTCAGGTCATGCTAATGCCGCCTTTTTGTCAAGATGGGCCCTGTGAAGAGGCATGGAGTCTGACTGCGCTTGCGCAGATCGTCAATTACCTCACCTCTCCTCACCTCCAATCACCTCTCTCCACATTTCAGACCACCTTGCCCCCCATCCCATAAATATCCCTGAGTCCCTATTTTCGGGGAAGCAAATTGGAGGCTCATGCTCTCACTTCCTCACATGGCTGCCTTGTGATTAAACCCTCTCTCTGCTGCAATCTCGCCGTCTCAGTGTTTGGCTTTCTGGGCAGCCGGCAAAAACGAACTTGGTTCAGTAACATTCCTCCATAAAGATGAAGCTTGCACATAATCATTTGGATCATAATTAATTCCCAGGTGATTAATTGAAAGCTTCCAGGTAGACACTGTAAAATAAATTGGTGATCTGAGTCCCCAACATTCAATTTTGAAAAACACAATTAGATAGTAGGATTCCAAAATAAGTAACATGCATAAAAAATATATTGATAGGTTGGTGGAACCAGCTCCTTAAGGCAGGCTATGTCTAACTCACCTCCCTTCAACTACCAGGGCCATGCCTGGCACAACTAGGTATTTAAAGAACATTTGTTAACGGATGTCCTATTTTATTTCATAACAACTGAAACTCCCAACTCAGGCATGAAAACAAAATTCACACAAAAGTAAGAACTATTTTGGGGCCAGCCCCATTAGCTTAGGTGCCAACCTTTAGGGAAAAAAAAAAAAAAGCAAGAATTACTTTTAAAAAAAAGAACTACTTTTTAAAAGATACTTGTATGATAATACCTTTTTCCACAAAATTCAAGTACAGAATGATCTTTTGTCCTAAATCATCCACTATTTCTTTTCCATTGAGGGTAACGTAGGCTCTCTCGGATTCCTCTGTAGTTTTGTATCTTACAAACGAGTAGGGCTTATTAGGTGGCATTAGGAGAGCATCCACGGGTCCACATTTCTCTAAAACTGGAAGCAGCTGGTTCCTACTCACACCATTACCCAAACCACCATTGGCAACAACCAGGACCTTAAAAAAGCAAAAACAGAAAGCAACATGAGCAATTAATATCGACCTGTTTATTTTTAAGTAAGATTTTAAAATAAGATGATGTCTACAAAAGTGTAATTAAAAAAGTTTCCCTTACGATGGTTATTTGGTTTTCTAATTTCATCCAAAGTATATAAATCAATTTACTAAATATTTGGAGGTTAAAAAGTATTCCTATGTTGTAAAGATTGATTTTTAAAAGTGCTTTCAGTAAAATATTTATTTCCTAATGACCGTACATACAAATTAAAAGATAACTTTTTTCACTGTTCATAAATATAAATTTAACATAATGGAAAGAGAAAGCATAGAGAGAGAGAGAAGAAGGAACAAGGAGTTACATAATACTTGCTTTTTTGTCAGACACTGCTATATGCTTTTTCCTACTTAATCCTTATTAACATAATCTTCACAACAATCCTACAAAGTGGGTAATATTAGCCCCACGGCATAGAGGAATCAATTGAAGATGAGAAAAATTGGGTTAAGGTAATGACTAGTAGGAGTGGGTTTCAAAGCTATTTCTGTCAGTTTCCAGAATGGTTCTTTTGATAGAACCATTATATAATGTTTACTAAAAACTAAAAGTAAAGGTACTGACTCAAAGAAAAACCAATTACAGGTTCTACTGAACATAAAATAGGAAGATTTTCCTCTATGGGTAATTCAGTTATTTTGCAATTAAAATTTTTTCCTCTGTAAGTTTCATGCTTACTACCTGTCATTTGCAGACCTGCCCTGAACTTATTCAAGGGATTTTGGGGGATGGGGCAGGAGGTCTCCTGTTTTTATTCCAATGTTAATGGCCTAGTGCCCTTGTAGTCTTTGTACAGTCGGTCCTTAGCATCCATGGGTTCCGCATCTGCAGAGTTGACCAACTGCAGATGTGTACAATGTTTACAATCCGCAGGTGGCTGAATCCTTGGATGCAGAACCCAAGGATTCGGAGGGCAGACTAAGAGATGAGCATCCACGGATTTTGGTATCCACGGGGGTCCTGGAACCAACCCCCTGTGGTTAAGGGACGACTGTACTTATAAAGCATTCTACACAGCGTTAAGATCTTTCATTTATGATCTGTAACTGTAACTCCTAAAAATTTTGTAGCATAACAAAAGTAAACCATCGATAGCCAACTCTCATAAGTTTCATTATTTATACCAGGTACTAGCAAACTTTTTCTGAAAAGGGCCTATGTAAAATATTTTAGGCTTCCCAGGTCATATAAGCCTGTCACGTAGTCTTTTATTTTTTAACAACGCTTTAAAAATGTAAAACTCATTCTTAGCTCACAAGCCAGATTTGACCCGAGGGCAGCAGTTTGCCAAACTCTGATTTATACTAAGCTGGAAATCAGAACATAACGTATTAGTTTCTTTTATACAAAATAGGATTATCTACAACCTTGTTTTAAAAGAACGTTATAGAATTATTATAAAATTGGATAATAAGAAAAGCTCTGTTCCGTCATGGGATAGCCAACATTTTATATGTACGAAAGTATACACATACACATACTAGACAAACACACTAATACAATACTACAAAATATGGTGTAAAATTTAGTCTCAGATGGCTTGCCCTGGACCTAATTCAATGGGGTTTGTAAATTAAAGCACCAAAATAATTTGGTTATATGCAGCCACAGTTTCAAAAACATTTCCATATTCCCAAATCTAAGGAACTGCAAAGGTTTTGTAAATGTCAAGGTCCACTGCTCCATCTAAGAACTAAGGAAGATGGTGAGGCGTGATTGAGGAGGACTAGTGGCGCTCGAAGATGCTGTCTGAGTGATTTGGGGGCAATTCTAAAGGCAAACCACACAAAAACAAGCGGAGAGGGGAGTGAAGGAAAGAACTCATTTCCTATTACATGTGAATTATACCATATAATTAAATACAATAATTGTTTTATTTATAATTGTTCAGCCAAGCAATTTTCCCGACAATATGAAGTAGAGAATTTAGAATTTTTTTTTGTTATCTTCAGTCCTGATGGTTTGAGGATCACTCCTCTAGAAAAATCTCACGATGGCTATAAATTTGCACAAAGGCATGTACACTTAAAACACATTGCGGAAAGAGCATTTGTTCTCCCCTAGATAGATAATATATAATTGGAGGTCCTTCTACAATTTTACTCTTTTCCTTTAAAAATACTGTGGAGAAAAAAATAATCAAGCCCAAATAAGTTGATACTTTAGAAGTCACCAAGGTAAGATTAAAGTTTCTAGAGATCTGAAAGAAAAGACAGACCCAACCAGAAACAAGCTTCAGAGGCAGCAAAGAAACTTAACCCATTTCTTTTCTTACCAATTCTCGTCACGACCCCTATAAGGCATGCTTGGGAAGAGATCAGAGTAGGGTACGTCAGTTTAATCTTTTGAATGCCTCACAGCCTCAGTGGCTCTTGGCAGAAAGTCTATGCAAACATATTAATTCTAATCTGTTATCTACTCTATCCTTTTTATAGGGATTTGGTTTAAATTCTCTAAAGTCATTAATATTTAATGAAATCTAAGTATGGGCCTTTTACCTGATAAATTTAAACTCACCTCAAAAGGCTACTCATTCCTAAACTACGACGCAGCACAGAAGGCAGCCTCAGCATGATATAAGGGAATGGTATTGGTCTGAGAGTCCAGAGCCCTGAATTTTAATCCTAGTTCCACCTTCTCAATTGTATGTCTTTGGCCCTCGGTTAGATGATGGCTAAGCTTCCTTCCTCCTCTCATATCCTTAGAACCAGAAAGAACATCATAAGAATACTTTACATTTATATGGTATTTTAATGACTAGTAAGTACTGTCACATACATGTTCTCTTTGGACTCTAACAATCCAATGAGATAAAAAGGTATGCAATACTATGTCCTTATGAATGAATAAAGCTGAGGTCAAGGGTACTGCTCATGTCCAAATAGTGGAGAAGCTAAAAGTTAAACTAAGTTCTTCTAATTCAAAGCCCAGGAAGTCTCATAGTCCCTCATATATATATAATTTAATTATTGCCATCAGATAATGAAAAGTCTTTGTAGATAAGGTCTAATAAACAAAAAATGTTTTATAGCATATAATCAAAACACTTTATAATACAGACAAAGTTAGGAATAGAAGAAAGAAGCCTGCGTTAGGATACAAAAGATCTAGCTTTAGGTTTCTATTCAGCCACCTCACATCAACGGACATATCACCACCTCTTAGAATCTTAGTTTTCTCACCTGTTTCATAAGGATTTTTAGGGAATTAGATATAATAACGAATGTAAGAATGCTTTGTAAACTGTAAACAGTTTTAGTGTTATTGTTATTAATATCTACTCACAACTTCCTCTAGTTCAACACAATCAAGGGAAATTCAATGTCCCAAAACAGAAAGTGATCAGGTCCCATCATACGTATACTGAATATAGACGTAACACACGACTGAACAATTACAGCATTCCTCTCTGAGCAATTATTAACAAATATCACTGTGACACATTAAAATTGCAATACATTTACATTCAAATACATTATTCAAATGATAATAACAGTTTTAGGTCACCTGAGTAGCATAGGATACTGTCTCAATGCCTTCATGTCTCAGCAAAGTATGCCTGGCTTTAATCTGTTTCCTTAAGAACTTCTTCTCGGTTTTATTAAGTTTATAATTATTTTGATGGTTGCTGTCCATGGCAATACTTAAAAAAAAAAAAGTACAAAATGTCAACTTTAAGATTCTGAAGGGACAGTTATAATGATGCTATTCATATTTTCTATAGTTTATAAATATTTCTATATGACAATTTTTTTAAATGCTTACTTTACCTTTCACCAACCAAGAGAAGTGAGAATAAACAGATGCTTGGACAATAAAGGAATATTTAAGAAGGTAACAAAGAAGCAAGAACATCTAATAGCAGCTCTGGGGTTCTACAATATGTTCCAGAGCTTCAGCTCTCCTAAGGGAGCTGTTTTCCCCATAGATGATACAGCCCTTTACTTACGAAGTCCTAGGTAAAATGTGCCACAGACAAATTTCATAAACTAATATTAGGAAAGAAAAAAAGAAGAAACAAAACAAAAAATTCACAGAAGAATATACAGCATGACTCCATTTACATAAAGTCCAAAACCCAGAAGTAAGCCATATATCGTTTAGAAATACATATGGAGCAAAACCCAAGAAAAAGCAAGGAAATGATAAACACAAAGTTCAGGAGAGAAGTTATTTCTGGGGGGAGGAGAGGAATGGAATATGAAAGAAACACAGAAAAGCATCAAAGGTATTTCTTCAGCTAGACAGTGGTTTAGGTGTTTGTTTACTTTTTAAACTGCACACATTATATATTTTTATATCTATAATTTTTAAAATAACAGATAGTAAGAACCCCATAGAATTGTTTTCATTTTATTGAAATACGTCAATCAGCAAGTAGTCACTAAGTGCTTTCCCAAAGAGGCCTTCACGCCATCCAAATCAGCACTCTACACCATGCTTTATTACAGTGGCCTATTTTATTTTGTTTGCAGAATTTAACACAATTTGTGATGATTCATCTGTTAGCTTAAATCCCTCATCAGGATGTCAACTCCAAGAGAGCAGAAATGCCACCGTACAGCAGGTGCTCAACACAAACTTGTTGAAGGGAATAAATGAACGATAACAGGTGCATACACACACACCTATTTATGGTCTCAGTGCTCTGCGGCATACAACTACAACACATAGTTTATGCTTTCAACAAAAGTGTCTAAGCTGGTTGAGGAAAACAGACTAAACAATGAAAGAACATGATATATCTTTATATAATTAAGTGTTAATGGTACAGTCCAGTCTTTAGTTGTGACATGAATTAGAGACAAACAAAGTAAGACTGACATAAACTAGAAAAATTGGAGAGAACTTCAAAACAGAAGGGGACCTGAGCTGAGTCCTGAAGGACAGAAGTAAACAGTGTCATAGGGAAGGGAGAGTATTCAGTAAGGCAATAAAGGGAAGAAGCTAAAAACAGAAATGGATGTGTCTGGCAAAGACAGTGAGAGGTAAGCATAATCTTTTAAGCAGAGAATGTTGGATGATCCACCGATCCCACTCTTCACCCACTTGAAAGTCTTCAAAGTTAGCAAACAAAATAAATATAGGGAGTTAAATAAAATCATATTCCAAAACAGCTCATAAACAGTCAAAACTCTAATTACTAATCTTTATGTACAGAAGAAAAATGCAGAGTCTATAGAAAGAACAGTAATCCAGCTTAACTAATACACAGCATGCATGTGATAGGGGGTAAGGCCAGTAAAACAGACTAGCTGGACAGCATACTAGAGAAGTGAGAGGCAAGGGGACCTGCTACGATCCAGCCTGGCAAGTAGAAACGCTGGACTGGAGTCTGGAGGAAGGGTGGAGTCTGGAGGAAGAAAGGACATACGGCGAGAGGGGGAGGGCAACAGAAAAGCTCAGGCACAATCAACAGGCCTTGAATACTACTCAGACGTGAAGGAGAGAGGAATCACACATCACTTACAGGACAGAGCCTGAGTGACTGAGAGACTAGTGACGTCACTTCAAAACTGGAAAGTCAGAAAAAGGTCAGGAAGAGCTGCTCAGTAAGGAAGGTAATGAGTCAGTTAGGATATAATATGTTTGAGGTACTGGTGAGATACACAGTTGCAATGTCTGGCCGGCAGATGACAATACAAAGTAGCTAAAAGGAGAGGGAATGAGGTTAGAGAGAAAGCCTTAGGAGTCATCATTAGACAGGAAGGGGACAGCTGAATGGATATTTTTAATTATAATTATTTATAATTATAATTATTTATTCTAATGTTTGTTCCTTTCCAGTGAACGAAGAGCTCTTTGAGGACAGGGATTAAATCATATTTTTCTTTGTTTCCCCAGAGCCTCCTTCAGTGCCATGAGACAGTATAACACAGTGTTTAGAGGTCCAGGTCCTAGGTTCAAATCTCAGCTCTACTTATCGACTTATCAGCTGTATGATCCTGTGTGAGCTAATTACTTATTTCTGTGCTTAAGTTTCTTCATCTGTAAAATAGGGATAATAGTGCCTATTCTTGGCACGTAACTGCATCCATCGCTGCACTAAAAAACGTGACCAAACTCTAGCACAGCTTCTGGCAGCATAAAGCCAGGTCCCTAGGAGGACCCCAGTTAACCACTAAAATGCCCGAGAAAACTCAAAATGCTGCCAGGAAATTTTACCATTTGTTCTGGCAACACCTGACAATAGGCCCCTGACCTCTGTTTCTGAGAGCATTTACTAAAAGGGGCTTACAAATAGTAAATATGCAACTCAAAAGTGTCTCTCTCAAGGACCTGAGAGCCATTCCTTTGAAATGTAATCAAAGGAAAGACAGAGCCTCTGTCTCCCAATCCCTGTGGCAGGAGAGAGAACTTTGATAACTGCCAACTGGCAAACACAGCTGGCCTAACTGCATTTGTACTGACCAATCCTTTGTAATCTTTCACTTCTCTAAGTCTACTGAGCCCCTGCTCTACGCCCCTCCCATTCTCCCTTTAAAACACCCAAATCACTTCTGCACAAATGAGAATGGAGCTCAGCTCTTTCCTACTGTCAGTAGTAAGAAAATAAAATGTTTCTACTGCTCTAACTAATGTCTGGCTGTGTTAATCTTTGACACTAACTCATAACTTTGTTAAGGATTAAATACATCTATTACTAAATTATGTCAGCCCTAGCTATCTTGTGGTTAAGATTCTGATATTCTCATCACTAAGGCACGGGTTCCTTTCCTGGTCAGGGAACCACACCATCTGTCAGTTGTCATACTGTGGCAGCTGCCTATTGCTGTGATGCTGAAATCTATGTCACCAGTATTTCAAATACCAGAAGGGTCATGATGGTGGGCCGAGTTCAGCAGAGTTTCCAGACTAAGCTGGACTAGGAAGAAAGACCTGGCCACCCACTTCTGAAAAACCGGCCATGGAAACCCTATGAATAGTGCCAGAAGATGAGAGGATGGTACGAAAAAGACCAGGCAGGGTTCTGCTCTGCTGTACACAGGGTCGCTAGGAATCAAAATCAACCTGATGGCACTAACAACAAATTACTAAATTATTGTTAATTTCCAGAAGAGCCAAATCAGAATGGTTTAAGAAGACAAAGAAAAACTGAGGGCCCTCAAAGGAACTTTCTTATTGCTATTCCATTCCAAGATCATCATCTTTGGAATGGCATCTTTGCAGTATGAAATGAAGAACAAGGGATGAACACACTAAGAATTTTTTTCTTAATATGTCACATGGGCAAAGACTGCAAAGTGGAAGAAATGAGAAAACTAAGATACTGAATACATCTTTTTAAGAGTCTGACACTAAGTGTGCAGTACCAGCAGACGGAGCCTCATAATCACATTTCTCTCATCCCCTTTCCCTTCTCCTTCCCTCAGTCATGCAATATTATTACAGGTGAAGAAAGACAAATCCAGATAGCTCTGGAGGCTCATTTGTTCCTCATTCCAAAGACTTGGCAATGCAGTGGCCCAGCAGGTCTGAGTCACCTCAACAAGGAATAGGCTGATACCAGGTGCTGAGGTCTGGGGATGCTCCCTTTCAAACAAGGCCACTTCCCTGGCCAAGGAATTTCCACCATTGCACAAAGGCTTGGATGCCCCTTGCCTTGTTATGGGAGTGTTATGGAATGTCATGGGAGTGAAGTCATCACTAGAATACTAGCCATGCTGAGTCCAGTCTAATCACATCCAGCTAAAGCACACTCTCTATAGGATAACAAGAGTTAAGAGATCACACACGCTCTGCTACTAAGTTTAACCCCAAGACATCCTATTGGATATCGCCCTCAGTGGTAATAGTAGCATGTGTGTCCATGCCCTCCTTGAACAACAGAGTGCATACAATGAACAAAGCCGTATAGACAAATGTTCCTGTGCTTGTAGGTAAATTATACTCAATAGCAAAGATTAGCAAGAACTTAAATTCCTATCAAATGAGGCCTGATTATCGAGTACAGCACAGGTATACATATAAACTTCTAGGACATACAAGAAATCAGTGATATAGGCTACCTCCAGGAAAGGGAAATGGGTAGATTGGTACAAGAATGAGAGGGAGCTTTCCTCTTTCCTAATTTTTGAATTTAGTAACTATTCAAATTGCATTAACCATTAAGAAAGAAAACAAAAATTTTAATTGATTAGAAAAAATTAACCCTGTCATGTCATATCATCCCGTTTTAATTCCTTGAAGAATACCTACTCTATATTTTCTTATGCCCTCATTAATTTGTTTATTCACTGTCTTCCTTGTCCAACTTACTAAAAAGTAACCTCTATGAAAGCAGAAATTTTGTCTATATTGTTCACCCTGTGGCACTCAGCACCTAGAACAGGATCTAGCACCTACTAGCCATTCAATAAACGTTTATTGAGTAAGCCTAAACTTACTACCCTTGCGATATTACCTCCTAAACCTCTTCTTCAGAATTCTGAGTTTGGTGGCCCTCTTCAGTGTTTTCATTAATACCTGGCGTGTATCTCTCTCTCTGCAGTTTTCACATTGTCTAATAACGACCTATTTGTGGGCTCACCCAGAAGTCTGTCATCTACTTGAGGGCATAGACTTGAGTCCCTGGCATACAGCAGACACTCAGTAAATATCTGTTAAGTGAAATCAATCAAAACCAGAAGCTGACACTACCAGAAGCCCAAGGATCTCCAGGATTACTCAAACAAGAGCGTAGGAAGATTCAGCTATATGAGCTACCAGACCACCAACAATGCCTTTTCCTCACTGGATTGGCACGGGTCAGAAAAGCCCCAGACGCGCCAGACTAACACTCCCTACTTGCAATCGCCAGTCCAAAACCTCAGAGGAAACAGGACACTGACACAGACACCACGTGAGCACCCGCACTAAACACAAACACGTGCACCTCAAACACGGACAGACAGGATCACCCAACGCCGGACAGCCTACTGCCTACGGACTGCCCCAGAGCACTGCGCCGGCCATCCCTCCCCGCCCTAGGTTCTCAGGCACAGATCTGTGAGGCAGACAGAGAAAACCGGAAGAAGGCGACAAGAGAAAGCAGTGATTTGCAGCCATCATGCCCGCCAGTAAGACGTGCCACAAACCTCCGCCTGGGCTCAGGCTGAGTTCTCACCACGTGGGTGCGCTCTCCTTCGCCAGCCTTTCCAATCTATCTCAGAAAGCAGCGGCGGATACTCACACACCACCCCATCTGGGCGCAGCCATGTTGGAGAAAGGTGCACTACATTTCCCATGAGCCTGCGGGGACGACGAACGGCGCTCCCACAATTCCCTTCGCCTTCCAGAGCTTCCTATTGACTCTTTCTCTGCCGGGCGTGGTTGATCAGTCAATCGCTCTCCGCTGTGGTGAAAATTAGGGTGTCTTAGTCGGGGAAAGAGTAAGGGTAGGGAGTGCTGCTTATTATTAGCTATCCAATTGGACACGTTTAAACAGGTGTGTGTCCGTCGGTCCCTCAATAATGCCCACTCCCCCACCCCCTCCTCTGGGGATCTTTTTGCATCTTTCCTCAGGAATCTTAGAGGAATGGGAGAGGACCTTGGGATCTGAAAGACGACATCTTATGGGCGACAGCGAGGGAGGTGAAAGTGCGTGAACATGCCAGGGGAATGGTGAATAGCGGAGAGTGGTAGGAAGATGAGTGGAAGAATGTTGAGGGAGGTAGGACAGGAAAGGTGGGCTGCGCCAGATTATAGAAGACTTTAGGCTATTCTGTTCTGTAGGTCTAAGGGGGTCCCTGGAAGAAATGGAGTGATAGGACCAGAGCTTCAGGGGGAAGGTGGGAAGAGAGACTAAAAGAAGACTGCTTCACAGGCTATCGCAGTGGTCAAGTGAAAAGTAAACTATTAACTGGGACACAGCAGTGGCAGACGGAAAGGAAAAGATTTCGTAAGAGAGCAGAAATAAAAGACACAGGAGAAGGTGATGATTAGCCATTGTTCCTGCTTTAATGTTGTGGGTTATGAATGTATTATAATCATTCTGCCTGCACTGGATTATAAACTGAGAGCAGGGAAGGCAATTTGGGAGTGGGGAGGAAGTCACTTCCCTATAGTGCTGATACAATGCCCCTATCCACACCCCACCACAGTGGACTATCAGCAAAAGTTAAGGGTTGCTGGCCAGCACAAGTGGCACTGACAAGAGAGTGTTGTTGAGGGGAGGAATAATTTGTATGAAGAATAGGTTAGAAGGGGGAAAGAGCAAGTTGGGATGCAGATAGGCACCAATGCAATAGTTCAGGAAAGAGAGTGAGGCTAAAACTGAATAGCAAGTGAAGAGGCAAGTGCAACCTAGAGAGGTCAAATCAGCCAGACATTGCAAACTACTGAAGAGGGTCTAAGGGAAAACATGTTCAGTCTCCCTGATGCCGTCTTGCTTCTGCACTACTGGATGCTTTCAAAAACACTTTCCAACAGGACTTTCTGTGATGATGGAAGTGTTTTATGATTTGTCTGCCGCTCCAGACATCTTGTCCCCGTACTAGCATCCCTAGCTGGAAAAAAGGAGCAGAGTTTCCATCTTTTCATCCAGGAAATGAAGCTCCCAGTGGACTCCCCCTTGTTTTTTGACCACACAGGTTGCATACTATGATAGGCAGAATGATGGGCCCCCAAAGATATCCACACGCTAATCCTTGGAACCTGTGAATATGCAGATATAATTAAGTTTGCAGACCTTAAAATAGATTATCCAGGGATCCAATATAACCACATGATTCCTTAAGAGCAGAACATTTACTCTTGCTGGAGAAAGAGAAATCAAGCAGAAGAAGTTAGAAAGATTCCAAGTGTGAAGGATTCAACACACTGTGATGTAAGGGTCCGTGTGCAAGAATGGAGAGAGGCTTCTGTGAGCTAGGGCCAGCCCCCAGCTGATAGGCTGCAAGCATGTGGGGGCCTCAGTCCTACAACCACGAGGAACTGGATTCTGCTAACAACCTGAATAAGCTTGGAAGCAGATCATTCCCAGAGCATCTTGGTAAGAGCCCAGCCAGGCAACACCTTTATTCTGTCCTTATGAAACTCAGAGCAGAGAAACCAAGAGCCAACCCAAACTTCTGGACTACAGAATTGTAAAATAATAAACGTGTGCTAATTTATTACAGCAGCAATCAAAAACTATTACACGTGCTTATCCCAGACCAATCACTAGCCAAAGAAAGTAGAATTACTGGGACTGCTTTAGGCTGGTCATGATTAATTGCATGGGGCTGGGACGAGACCCTGAGATCAAGAGACCTGGATAGCCTACACTCTATCTAGAGAAAAGTTAAATTAGGCTTCTCTTAACAAGAAAAATGAGATGACAGCTTTTGGGCAATTAACAGCATGTTCCATAAGGGGGTTGAACACTTCATCTGACTGGATTATCATAATATGATCTATCTCAAAACCTAAGAGAAGAGGATGCTAGAAGGATGAGCACTCTCATCAATTAGTAAAGCATTCAAAGGTAGAATTCTAAGAGTTATTATATTTCTACTTTGAGATTCCTCAGTCAGAAAAGATTGAAAATGTTCCCAACAGTCCTTGAAAATTGTTGTAGTTTATTATGGTTCCAAAATGTGATACTGTTGCACTGCAGTTTCAAATTCAATTCCTATACTTATGAGGTTCCTAATTTCCCTTCCCCTTCTCCCCCACCCAGACCATTTGTTTTTGCTACTTTCTGGATTTTTCCCCCCGCTTGTCCCCAAGAGCAACTATACTAGTTTTGCTTTCTTTTCCTATTTAAGGTTATAAACAAAAACACGTTCATTTCTCAGTCTTTCCTCTCCACTTATTCTTTTGCTACTTATTTTATCCCTGCTGGGTAAATGACAAATTTGTGTCACATTTCCTTTCCAAACTTTTGTCTTCTCTGCTGGCTTCTTGAAACTCCAGAAAGAATGCATTATGTAAAACCATTTGATGTTCACTGTGACATTTGAGGACTGAATGCATTATTCATGCTATGGTGATAAAAATTCAATGAAAAGTTTGTAGTTTTATAAGTCATATGGTGAAAGTACTTCCATGCGGTAATTAGAGGCAAAAGTAACACAAAAAAAAAAAAAAAAAAAAAAAAGGAGGGAGGAGCCAGCCTTTCATTTATAATATAAAATATAAAACTCTGCTTGAGGATTGTTTTTGGTCAGTCGGAAAAATATAAGATTTCAGGGGCTGGTGCAGTGGTGTAGCAGTTAAGTTCACGTTCTGCTTTGGCGGCCCAGGGTTCGCCAGTTCAGATCCCAGGTGCGAACATGGCACCGTTTGTCAAGCCATGCTATGGCAGGCGTCCCACGTATAAAGTAGAGGAAGATGGGCATGGATTTAAGCTCAGGGCCAGTCTTCCTCAGCAAAAACAGGAGGATTGGTGGCAGATGTTAGCTCAGGGCTAGTCTTCCTCAAATAAATAAATAAGAAAAATGTAAAATTTGAGCTGTAAGCAATAACTGCCCTCCCTCCCACAATGGTTTTATTCTTGAGGCTAAAGACCTGCTTACTTCACAGAATAATTATTTTTCTGCAACATGCTTTTCAAGTAGAAGAGAATAAAGCAATAGCAGACAACTCAGGGTGCAGGAAAATCTTTGGGGTGGCCAGAGGAGTGGGATTTGTGGATTTTTAAAGATATGATAAAGTGAAGCAACTTTTTAAAAATATTTCCCTTAACTCGACAAGAAAAAATTCTCTTAAAAATTTATAAACATTTAAAAATGTCAGGGCCAGCCAGGTGGCACAGTGGTTAAGTTCGCACATTCCGCTTCCCAGTGGCCTGGGATTCACCAGTTTGGATCCTGGGTGCAGACATGGCACTGCTTGGCAAAACCCATGCTGTGGTAGGCGTCCCATGTATAAAGTAGAGGAAGATGGGCATGGATGTTAGCTCAGGGCCAGTCTTCCTCAGCAAAAACAGGAGGATTGGCAGTAGTTAGCTCAGGGCTAATCTTCCTCAAAGGAAAAAAAAAAAGTCTCACTACTTTAATGCCTTCATACTGTCATTAATCTCTCAAAGACCCAAAAATACAAAGATGTTTGCCCAAAGAGGGCAAGCTTCATCATTAATTATGCTGGATGTAAATCCGTATTTCATATAATCTTCATGATCACTTCTAATTTGGGGGGATTTCTCATTAGATCTGACTAGATGGTCTTAGCTTTTACTTACATTATGACTCACTAAGACCTCATATTAGGAGCATCAATTTTGCCATTTTCTGTTAGTTACTTGTGCTTGAATTATTATCTTTATTCATCTTCACAATGGGGAATTTAGAATTTTCTAACCTACTTGCCCATTTTGCAAAAGTAGTTTTTACATTATATAAGCATTTACCAGGCACAAAAATCATGTCTTGCTTAAAGGAGGGAGGATGCCAGAGGCAGCTCCCCTGCCTGCGAACTCCCACTCCACTCTTCTCTTAGAACACCTCTCAAAGTCTGTGACATGTGACAATCCGACGTGCAGCCCTAAGGAAGCCTCCAGTATTCTAAGGGGGGTGAAGATTAGTTTGCTTTCGATGAAACTATAAACAGAATTTCCCACGTATTCTTCCAGATACCCAAGTTTTGCATACTATACATTAGAAGCCACTGCACGAGGGCATGTTTTGTAAAGGGTGGTCCTTAGACTGCAGCAGAATCACTGGAGTACTTGTTAAAAATGCAGAGTTCCAGACCCCACCAGGCATGAGTCAACTAAAAACAAATATGTTTTAATAGTTGCTCTGAACCCCAATGGATTACAGGGTTCATTTCAAAATCTCTGGGGCCAGGGCCCAGCAATCTGCATGCTTAACAAGCAATCCTGCTGATCTTGCAGGTGTTCAACCATCAGAGAAAAAACTGTGTATTATTCATCAAGATAGGGCTCTTTAAAAATCTGCCCCAGAGTAACAAAGTGCCAATTTTCTAACGTATTTGGGATTTTTATTTTAGGTGAAATGTTTTAACTTTATAAGGTACAAGGAACCAAGAAGCCAGATGATACAGCACTCAGATTATCGAATTATTGAAGACATAAAGTTATGTCTCAAAACAATTCTAATTATTGGCATCTCCATATTCCATGTTATAGATCTAGCAAGTAAGACTTAAAAACAAAGTGTATAAGCTGTGTAAGTAGGAGATATTTTTTAAGAGAGTGATTTACATTCATGTCTGTGTTCTCCAGTGAATAAAAGGACTCAGTTTTATAAGTTAAAACATAGCTATCTACAACTACCTTTTTGTGAGGTATTTAAGTGTTAAA